TGTCTGTCCTTCTGGAAATCCTATCCAATAGTTTCCTATATTTTTCCAACTCTTTTTCTATGGCTTTCCTGTCTTCTTCCTTTTGCCGCAGGATGGACTGCCTTTGCTCCGACAGTTCTGCGTGGTATCTTTTCGTGGCTTCGACCCACTCGTCGCCTTCCAAATCGTCCCGTATGTCTTCCAAGCGCTGCTGTCGTTTTCTTTTGGACAGGAAGGATATTCTGCGGTCCGTAGGCACTTCCAAAATGCCAAAGGCGCTCTTTTCTACTCCGATCCTTTGCGCCTTCTTTGTGCGCCATATCCACTCCACGTGTTCGCTCGTAGGCAGGAAGTCTGCGATAGTAGGAGCATTCGCATGCACGCGGGTGGGAAACTTGGACTCCGCTAGCACCGTAGGGGCATCTTTCGTGTAGCAGCGCAGCGGCAGTATTTCCACCGGATCCAATTCTCCTACGTCTATGCGGAATATGGGACATCTGCGCAGACCAAACTCTGCTATGGTCCAAAGTACGCATTGCTCCCATTTGTCGTTGCCCCGCACTCGCACACCGGCTATCCTACCCGTTCCTGCGTGGCAGTACCAAGCTAGGAATATTTCTCCCGTTTCCTCGCAGCAAATGCAGCAGCATCTGTCTAGGAGTTCGGCAAGTGCCAACCACATGTTYTTTGGCGGCTGCACCACGAATATGTCTTCTAGCGGCGCTATGGTTTCCACGATGGCATTGGTGTGTTCTTTGGAGAAATCCTTCGAGTAGATGGATATTTCCACGCGCGTGCATCCTCTTTTCTGCACATCGGGGTGCAGGAAAGTTCTACGCAGGTGGTCGTTTGGGCAATCCACRTATTCGGCAAGCTTTGCGCCTACTGGGTTTTGCACTTCTCCAGCCTCGAAGTTCGACACTATCTTGTTGTATATTTTCGTCCGTTTGCCCTTTTCCACCCAAGTACAAACATGGCTGCCCACCTGGTGCGCATTGTCCAAAATGGTGCCTTCGCGCCAACCAGCTTCTCCCTGCTCTTTGTATCCCATTTGCCGTAGTTTGCGCACCAAGCTCTTGCGGTCCAAAGTGCCAGAGAAATCCTGTGTGTAGTCGACGGAATAGATGCCATATCCGTGCGCATCCAATAGCCTAGCGAACTTGGCAATGCTTTTGTCTACGACTTCTATGGACAATTCGGAGGTGTCTACTTTGGCCACGAAGGTGGCTGCGTGTTCGCCGTGCAGGCTATTCCACTTGTTGGACAAATGGGCCACACGATCTACTATGTTTCCTTTCCTGCATGTGTGCGCCATGTTGGTTGGTAGGAACACCCCAAAGGCTTCCGTGGCTGCAATGGATATTTTGGATACTATTGCCTTTGCATTTCTACACACCCGCCCATACAAGTCTTGTTCTGCGACGAACCCATACACAAACACATCGTCTACGAACGGTGGTAGCCCATGCAGTGGCTGCAAACTTGTAGGGCCTTCGTTGTTGCGTAGGTAGTCGCACTTGGATATGTCCGGCAGCAGGTTTCCATCGTGGGCATTGTCCAGCAGCAAATGTGCTAGCAGCCTACTCTTCGCACGTATGCCCATCTCTTGCAGTGTTGTCGAAATAGTCTCTTGGGAGTCCATCTCTATATATAGGGGTAGAAGCAAATACTACGAATGTGGCCTTTGTTGGACAACGCACATCTTTTGGAAAAACAATCCATACACTCTTCTAGGCGTCCCAGATATCTTTTGGGACACGGATTGGCATCTTTTGGGACACGGATTGGCATCTTTTGGGACACGGATTGGCATCTTTTGGGACACGAAAAAAAGGTAGTCGAAACATGGTTGTCGAGGCACTGACAATCCATACACTCTTCTAATACACTTCGTCTTCATTTTCAAATGCTTTTTCAA